TGTTCAAAAAATCCGTACTTTTGTAAATGAATCTGCCAAATAACCACAACTTTTTTCCCACGAGAGGTATTTTTAAACGTTTTTATATCATTAATATAAGAACCTAAGCTCCATTGAACATATTTTTATCCGTTTTCCTCGTCGATATGCAGTTCAACAGAGCGAGGCGCTCTCCCGCGACTGCGGATGCATAGAGCGAGGCGGGCTCCCGCGACTGGGGATGCATATTTCGGCAGGCATGCACTTTTGGGCATAACACCGGCCCAGAGGCTGCTGTTGAATTAAGTTTTCAGGTAGAAAAATAGAGCGTGAGCAAAACTGAGTATGATTGTGCTTTATTCAAGTATTTATTACAAAGTATTAATCAAACCCATCAAAGTCATCATCCTCTGTTTCTGAATTAAACAGCTGCAAAATCAGACATGCTAATTTCCCCTTCTTCGCTGTCAGAGTCACTTTCCGTGCCGGGCGGCTCCTCAGAAATGATGCCGGTGTTGTGCGAAAAAGTGAATGTCTGCGAGAATCTCATTGCGCTCGCGGGAGCGCAGCCCGCTGAGCGATAGCCTAAACCTGCTTTTCTCTGGATTAAACGGTCATGACATGCAGATACACACAGTTGCATTATAATATAGGCCTAATTAAATTATAATATAGGCCTAATTAAAGATTTGAAAGCTTAACGTTTGTCACATAACGGCAGTTACGTGATATACATGTTTCTATACTCGGTCTGATGACTTTGTGTAGCCCTGACATTGGAGACTACACTACAATAAATATGATTTACTGGAGGGTTTTCAATAAAGATATGATAACTTTTGCAACGATCCTCGTGACTCTGCATTGTTTTTTTATCTGATCTGGCCGTATATAGCACGAGTTTCCCATGTTTCTATGTGTTTTGCAGTTTTCAATCGGTTTTCACCTGTCAAAAATTGATTGAAGGCACAGTATAGTCACTCAAATGTTATTTCTACCTAAATATGACTAGATTTCCTTCAGGAGATGCATGATTTAAAGATCTGAGCTCACAAAACAGCTTGGAACTCTTTTAAAGCATCATTACAACACAAAATAGCCATTTTGACTTGTAAAAAATGTATTAAAGCCCAAATACTGTCATTCAAAGGGGATATCTGCCCAAATATGACTTGATTTCATTCAGAAGCATCTTATTTTAAATAGAACAAGTCCTTTTTAGGCAAAAATCACCTTTCTTCAACCACATTTGGCCTTTAATCAATTTCTAGCAGGGCGTTTTGACCAGCCGACTTGCTAGAAACTGATTAAAGCCCAAATACTCTCATTCAAAGGGGATATCTGCCCAAATATGACTTGAATTTATTCAGAACCTCCATAATTTAAAGATCTGAGCTCACAAAATAGCTTGGAACTCTTTACCACACTAAAAAGCCATTTTGACTTGCAAAATGGCTTTTTCTTATATGATATCATATAAGAAATGCTGGGTTTCAAATTACCCAGGAATGGCATGAAATCAAGAAGTTGTTCAATCTCTTAAAAATACTACTTTACTGCCATAGAAATACCAAGAAAAAAAAGTCAATTCATAAGTGTTGGTGCAAAATAATTGTATTTCTTTTAATCTAAAGAGATTTATATAGACAAAAGCATGAACATGAAACATGAAAATTTGAAAAACACACAAAGATATAACTATTTACATATCAGAGGGACAATAGCAACACATGCTACTGGCAGGCCGCACAAATATATTTCTTTCGGCCTCTGTATTTGGCACAGCTTTTGTGGAACCACTGTGGGCAGATTTCACATCCAATCTGAATTTAGCAACAGAAAAAAAAAGTGATTAAATTCTAGGCAATTATGACAAACACCAAAACATGTTTATTTTGTTTTCCTTACATATGGACATTTGAATATATAGTCTTTTTTTAATCTAAGACAGACTGAAGGACAGGTAAAGAACAGTTACCCAATGAGTGTCCCCATCCTGCTCCCCACACAGATGGCACAAGTTACTCAAGTCATCTGCAAAAACAAGGAACATGATTTATTTTCCTTCAACTGTGAGCAATGTTTGTCAGAATAAATTATAACAAAAAAACAAAAACCACCTGTGTTTTCCAAAATGGAAATGGCAATGTGTTCTCGGATAGAGTTCACGCCAGATATTGAGTTATCGAACTCAAGGAGTAATCCACCCAAGATGCACTCTGCAAACTTTAAATATGAGGTGGAAGAACAGATTTATCATGTGAAATGGTACTCTTACAAGTAGCGTTACTATAAACAACCCAATAACCATTTTTTTTTTTACAAATAAAACCACTGCAAGAGCTGGAAATACAGAGATAAACTAAACTGGGGAAAAACAAAAACCAGAACTACAAAGAACAAAAGTTAAATGGATGAGACTCTAGAACAAACCAGTGGGAACACAGGACCAGGAAAGTCAAAGGAGCAGGACACAGAAGAGCCAAGAAAACTTACAGGACACGACACAGAGGAACCAATGGCCAGGGAAAGTAAACATTAATTTGAATGAGGATCTGACAAGGAGTGAATGAACCAGAGAGCTTATATAGAGGAGGAGAGACAACAGGAAGATGGGAAACACTTGAAGAACAAAACAGTGAACCAAATCTGAGATATCAAAATAAAAACACTCAAGGAAAGTCTTTGAACCCAGAACAGAGACAGAACACAAGACATAGGACACGACAAGATGTCTCATAAATGTTCCTGGATTGTAAACATTTAATAACAACAGCCAGTGTGGGGATTAACGATTAAATTATAATTTTTTTGGATGAACCTAGAGGTTTAAAATGACTGCAGCATAATCTAAATTTAATTATAATCCTAACATAAAGCTTAATCATGCTGTGATATGTACCTTCAATGCATAGGCACCACAAGATGTGGCATCATGTTGCAGTGGGTGAGACCTCGTCTCACATGCCCATCTGGACACGTTCAGCCCCATGTGTCTCATGAATGATCTAAAAAACACAAATACATGTTGTCTATATGCAAATCAGTCAGGCCTTACTTTTAAGAATTGAATTGTTAAAATGTTCACTGCATTGATGTAATGTAAAACAAAATTCCTTACTGTTTCCAATTGCATTTCTTATTGAAAAAACACAAAGATGTAGAATGAAGAAGTAAAAACTGGATTTCCAAGGAGGGGAGATAACTTAGACTTGTCAGTGAAGAGTTTTGTAAAACCAGAATTAATTTTTAGCATAGTACAGGGAATAGCTATCTGTATAACCAACAGTTATTACCTTTATGCTTTGAAATAGAGATAGAAAAATTAGGATATAATGAGGACTTTGAGAAAAAGACTTATCACAGCTGGAATGGACGATTAAAAATTATGGGATGATCACAGCCTAGGAAAAGTCTATTAACGTATGTAGCGGTAGAAAAATCTAAACCTGTTTACAGGCCTATCATTTTTTCTAAATTGTTGGGATCCTCAGGCTTGCCCACCAGAGGGCTGCCTCACTGGAAACCTGTCTCTGGCCTGAAGCTCTGGGAGAGCTGCCTCACTGGAAACCTGTCTCTAGCCTGAAGCTCTGGGTGAGCTTAACCTGCTAATCAGCCCTGGTGAGCCAACCTGAAGATTCCTATGTGGAATTAACCTCAAGACTCCTATGTGGAGTTTACCTGAAGATTCCTAAGTGGAGTCAACCTGAAGATTTCCTATGTGGATATCCCCTGCTGTTCTCTGTGAAGAACTGGAAGCTCAGATCAAGGTCAGCCATGCTAAGTCTGAAGCTAGACGCTTTAGCTCCTCATGAACTCTGCTAACCAACAGTCTCTAGTCCCAGTCAAGACTTCTGTGAACCAGCCCAAACCGGTTTCTGAACTTGTTCATTATCTTGTGTTTCAGAACTTTGAATAAACCTTTGAACTTTTTCCCTGCCTCCTCCGTGTGTGTTCTCCATATGGGCTTGCTTCCTTGACCCATCATGACAAAAATGTGAAAATCTTTTTCTTTGAGTTTCTAACCTCCACAGCTAAGACTTTCCCCATTGTAAATATAAACCTGTCTAAGCTTTATGTTAAAACTTAGACAGGTTTAAAAAAAGAACTACTAAAAAACTAGTAAAAAAAGATACTATACTGTCTTGATACATTATGCTATATTGGCACATTTAACATCTTTTTATGTAAACATACCTTAAATTCCACAGCGCTGGCCATTAATTACAGTAATAGTTTTTTTTTTTTTTTTTTACGTGTACTTCACTCTAATAAAATAAAGATGAATTCATGCAAAATTACCTTTTAACATCCTTGCAGTGGTTTATTGAGGTTTTTCTTTCAACCAGTGGATCTAGAAAAACAGTTTTTTTGTCTCCTGGCAAGATCATTTAAAAGTGTCAAAAATTAATAAAGATACTGTAATACTATAGTTATAGTTTTTCAGCAATAAAATGCAGACTGCATCAGTATGTATACACACACACAACCATCCACACACATGCATACACTATGTTTAAATATACATACATACATATAAAACCCAATACCATCAAGTCTTAAAAATTTAAAAATTATTACCACCAGCATCCAATGGTGACCCGCATTGACAATGCCCACGATTAACTTGTATAGCTGTGGGACTATCTGTAAGTTAATTAAATAAAAAATGCCAGGTGATTAATGCATATTGTGATGTATTAATTTGTACTTTAACCTGAGATCATATTTTTTAATACCTTTACTTTGGGTTTCAGTCCATCCCAAATGCGGGTCATTTCAAAAGTGTCCATGGCACATGCCCTGTCTGCGTTGTTGTCATATTTTTTAATAAGCAGGGACAGATATGCATTGATAACCTGAAATTTAAAGTGAAAGGTTCAAAAACATATTTAGAATTAACAAAGATAATGCAAATTTTGTGTGCCTGACTAAAAAGTATATTCAATACATGAACCTTTTCCAGAAAAAAGAATGTTACCACCTCACCTCGCTGTCCAGTTCTCTTTGTGGTCCAGTAATGAATATGTCCCGAAAGAACACTTTGAAGGGCCCAATTTTGGAAAGGAGAACATATGGTTTTTTCCCCTCCCATGCGTCCTTCACATCTATAAAAATCATTTTCAAAGTTGTAGGAATGACATTCTGCAAGGACTAAAATACACTTCAGATACAGCATAATCTTGCTCGAATGGAAACCTAGTATAATATTTGTGTATTTTTTTTTTTTTTTTTTTAAATATTGTCATAGTATACATTTGTTGACTTGAGGGTTGCATAGATTCAAATTTGGATTATATTGATGGTTATTTTGGATTTATAAGAGATTTCAAGTTTATATAAAAGTAAAAACATTTATTAAAAATTTGGTTGCTAACTGGGGTGTTTACTGTGGAGTTTGTGGATGCAGGGGAGGTGCATCTAACCTGTAATGGCAGTGGCTGTGGAGAGGCTAGAGAAGGTCCTTTTGGGCGGACCTGATGAAGGCGGGGTGGCAGGCGGGTGTGATGACGGCGGGGTGGCAGGCGGGTGTGATGACGGAGGGGTGGCAGGCGGGTGAGATGACAGCGGGGTGGCAGGCGGGTGATGACGGCGGGGTGGCAGGCGGGTGAGATGACGGCGGGGTAGGTGTGCAATCTGTTATCTTGTGTGGCACTCTTCTTTGCTCCTCCTGATAAGTAACCAAATGGTCCCGACTAATTTTAGGAATTTTCACTCCTTGGCTGTTGATCAGGTCCACACTTTTGCCATCTATGGCCACAATTGTGTAGGGCCCTAGATAATTAGGGTCTAATTTTCCCCCTTTTCTCTGCTGGCTCCTAACATTAAGCCTCCAGACCTTCATACCCACCTGAAAGGGTGGGGCAGTTTTTTTGGCCATTTTTTTGGGGAGTTTTGGCCTGGTTATTATTTATTGCACTTTGAAGTGCCTCATCCAGTTTAAGGATGTCCTCAGTCATTCCCTCAACTGAAATGTTGTTCTCAACACTCCCATCCACCTTTAAAATGATTTAATGGTTAGATTGAAGCATTAATATACACATTGTTCATTGTTTCTTTGACATACAAAATGCAACTCACCCTGTATTCTTCAGGGATCTCGCTGGGGTACCTTGCCTCTCTCCCAAACATTAAAAAATATGGGGAGAATTTAGTGGTAACTTGGCGCTTAGTCCTGAGTCCGAACATCACAGCATCCAAGTGCTTGTCCCACTCCTCTGGCCTTTCCGGTGCAAGTTTTGATAGTGCCCTAGAAAAAAGTTAAAATCATGGAGCTCTTCTTGAGTTTTTACGATTCATATACTGTTTATTTTATAACCAACACAATTTCAAAGTGATAATTATCAAATGTTATAAAAGTACTATGAAAACTATTTAATAATTTAACAATTTATCACACCACAAGTAAACTATGTTAAGCTGACCATGATTTGAAAAAAGTCTTAGAGAAACACTAAATATGCGTTCAAAGATGCACAAGCTCGCCTTAGAGCGCACTTCCCAAATGGACACTTAACTATCAATTATAGACCATCAAAAAGAACACAAATAGCTGCAGAATAAAAAACAAAACAAAACAAAAAAACAATTATATATGTATAACTAATAACAAGAATTCTGGTACTTCTTACAACAAGAAAAATAAGAAAATGTATAAGTCCCTCGGACGCCATTTCCCGAGGACCCATCTCACCTTGCACTTCAAAAGCCTTTGACTTTCGTCGAAAATTGCTCTGTTGGAATGCAGATAAGCCTAGGGGCATAGTTCCATCGGTTAAGAATGACTTTATTTGGTCAAAGAGACTGGGATCCATGGTGAACAACGTTGCAAGTGCGTCTAGTGTCCAGCGCACGTATGCGTATGTCAATTAAGAAGCTCAGTTGAGGCGTGCACGCAGTATGCATGTGCAGTCCGCATGCCTCAAAGGAATCAATGCAATGCATAAATAGCATTTTTACACTTGTCAAATATGGTTTCAAGCTACTGATGTTCAACTGAAAGGGGAGTTCGGCCTCCAAATCACTCCATGTCCCTCATCAGTAATATAGAATAGATTTTATATCTTTGGCTTTCACGACTTGTAAACTGCGTAAAGAGTTAGTGTGAGATATATGAGGTTGTAATCTGTCACATATGATGCTTCAGCATCAAGACCAGACATTTTGAGGCAGTAAATATATTATAGTTACAAGGAAGGTGCTGCAATCAATTTTTGGCAGGTCAAAATGGCTTTTTAGAGTGGTAAAGAGTTCCAAGCTATTTTGTGAGCTCAGATCTTTAAATTATGGAGGTTCTGAATGAAATCAAGTCATATTTGGGCAGATATCCCCTTTGAATGAGAGTATTTGGGCTTTAATCAGTTTCTAGCAAGTCGGCTGGTCAAAACGCCCTGCTAGAAATTGATTAAAGGCCAAATGTGGTTGAAGAAAGGTGATTTTTGCCTAAAAAGGACTTGTTCTATTTAAAATAAGATGCTTCTGAATGAAATCAAGTCATATTTGGGCAGATATCCCCTTTGAATGAGAGTATTTGGGCTTTAATCAGTTTCTAGCAAGTCGGCTGGTCAAAACTTCCGTAAAAATTCAAAAAATATCCACTGGACTTGGTTTTCAAGATTTGAAGACGTTTCGCCACCTCTCCAGGAAGCTTTCTCAATTCAAATGTCTGGATCCGCAGTGAGTTTGAGTCTTATATAGACAACGCCTTGTATCGCTTGGAAACATGCAATGGTAACCGATGAATGGGTCGTTAGTTCCATCGTTAGCCTGTAATATCTGAACCTGTCTATGATTCTAGGGGTCGGTCGTTAAAGGGGGGATTGCCATTAAGGGGGGGATTGTCTCCTGTAATACCTGAAACCTGTCTATGATTGTTAAAGGAATAGTACACCCAAAACATGATTAGCCTTCATTTTCTACTCACCCCCATACTGAACAACACTCTGGAGTACTTTTTTGATATCTCAAATGCTTCTGGAGATCTGGGAGGCTTCTTGCTGTCTGCTGACATTCAAATAATAGAGGTCTATGGTGTCAGAGAAAGAAAGGTCCATAAAAGTCCACAAAAAACGTGTCAATATTCCTCCATACTGCTCGTCCAATGTATTCCAAGTGTCCTGAGTGGGTAGCATCCAGAATTTACTCGAAACAAAGTCATTTAGAATGTTTTTAGAGCATAAACAGTAGTGTATAGAATTTCCTGAAAGCGCGCACATGCGCGTTCACGAGCCTACGGAAGCTGGCAGACCAAACCAGATGAAAGTGCGCATTCAGCGTCTGCTCTGCCAATAATGCAAGCGTAGAAGAAGAAATGTGCTGTTTACCTGTGCAAAGAAAGAAACAACGAAAGAAAAATGTCTGAGGACTTCAGTGTTGAGGAAGAGCATGAGTTCTTTGCCGAGCTGAATGCGCTGGTTTGGTCTGCCGGCTTCCGTAGGCTCGTGAACGCGCATGAACGCGCTTTCAGGTAATCCTATACACTACTGTTTATGCTCTAAAAACTTTCTAAATGACTTTGTTCTAAAGTTTTGTGAGCTCAGATCTTTAAATCATGCATCTCCTGAAGGAAATCTAGTCATATTTAGGTAGAAATAACCTTTGAGTGACTATACTGTGCCTTCAATCAATTTTTGACAGGTGAAAACCGATTTAAAACTGCAAAACACATAGAAACATGGGAAACTCGTGCTATATACGGCCAGATCAGATAAAAAACAATGCAGAGTCACGAGGATCGTCGCAAAAGTTATCATATCTTTATTGAAAACCCTCCAGTAAATCATATTTATTGTAATGTAGTCTCCAATGTCAGGGCTACACAAAGTCATCAGACCGAGTATAGAAACATGTCTATCACGTAACTGCCGTTTTGTGACAAACGTTAAGCTTTTGATCTTTAATTAGGCCTATATTATAATTTAATTAGGCATATATTATAATGCAACTGTGTGTATCTGCATGTCATGACCGTTTAATCCAGAGAAAAGCAGGTTTACGCTATCGCTCAGCGGGCTGCGCTCCCGCGAGCGCAATCAGATTCTCGCATTCACTTTTTTGCATGACACTGGTCGGTATGATGGCTTCATTCTCGGTACTTTTCAACATTATTCTCATAATATTAAGACTTTATTCTCGTAATGTCGCGACTTTATTCGTTTAATTTTATGACTTTATTCCTGTAATGCTATGATTTTATTCCTGGAATAAAAATCTCTAGCCTGGCCCTTATACTCTGTTATTTGTATATGGGCTCTAATCATAATGGCGATCGGGAAAAAAAATCACCTCTCATTCAGAAAGAAAATCATTTCCAAATTCCGATTCATGTTTATTGTACAATATTTCAAACTGTGGTAGAAACCCTTTAAAAAGTGAGCAGTGAGCTTTAGAACTCCCTCCTTTGCCTTATTAAATGCAAACTTTGACTAAACTCTCATTTAGCTGAGGATGAAACTATATTGTTGCAGAAAAACGTTTTTTGGCTAATTAGCTGCTGCAATCAGCAAGCTTATCTAAATCCTCTCAAACAGGCACGCATGCGCAGACCCATCGGTTGCCATGGACACGGAGAGCATTTCCTAACCTCCTTTCTAACCAGGACCTTGAAGCTCGAACTTGCTGCATTGTGTGGTTTGCTAACTTGCCAAAGATGACCGTCGCACCTGAGGACAACAACTTGTCTGGACATCGTCTGGAAGGTTTATGTCACTCACTTTACTATGTTAATTAAAAAAACGTTAGGTGAAAAATGATTAATTTGATGTTTTTTCATGAAGTTACATGCTAAACTAGCTTAGCATGTAGCATCTTTGACATCTCAGAGATTAAATGTTTTTAGTCGACTGAATTCGTCAGGAATGTTAACAGCGATTTAATGATTTGAAAATAACTCTTATTTCTGTTTGAGAGAAACACCTTTGTTGAATTAGATGTGAAATGTTTGAAAACTAGATGAGCTAGCTCTATGAATTTTAAAAAATGCCATTTGCTCTATAGGGATATGTTGGTGAAATTACATTCAATAAATATATACATATATTTGAAGGACTTTTAACGTAATATATTATCAAGCCAAAGTGTTTATTTTTTCTATTTAATAAAAAAGTTATAATTTTTAGTATTTTTTTGAAGTCGACTGAATTTAAACCTGATAAACAACTGGAAAAAATAAGAAATGAAGATTCTCAAGTTGTTTAGGTTAATAAATGTGTTTAGGAAATAAGTTTTAAAAGTGGTTTTTAAAAGTTTTTATAGAGTAATATGTATTAAAGTGATTTTTATTGGTTGGAAATTGGAGGAATTATAACAGAGGTGTAATGATATTAAACAAAAACACATTTTGGTTTGAGAGGATCATTTTTGATTAAGTTCATGTGGAAATGGTTGAAAAAAAATACAAAATAAATCGTTTAAAGATAAAATAAATGTTGTTAAATACATTAGAAGTTGAAAGGAAAGGGTTAAAAAAAAAAAAAACTCTGGTAAACATATTGGTCTCCATGGATACCTTAGTAGAATGCATTGAACAAATTTAAGGCTTTTTTAAGGTAGCATTAATTTTTGAATTTAATGGCCAAAGGTGTTAAAAATGTATGATTTTAAAGTTTCTGGTTTCAAAGGATCATTTTTGGTGAATTCGGTTTCCAATCCTTTAAAAACAAGATGGCGCCTGGCCCCTTCTGACAGGGAACAAGTATGGTCTCCATGGATACAACAATAACAATGATAAAGTTTAAAATTATTGTGGGGAAAAAATGAGATCCTTTACATGTTTTGGCTGTAACATGTTTAGAAGTTGACTAAGTTTATTATAAGTGCTGCCATTCCTAATTGTGTGAGGAAAGAATAGAGAATAAATGTTTAATCAAGAGTTTAGAAAGGAGGATGATATTTTTATGTTTACAGGGAGAAGGTAGAATTAAAACATCATTTTAGAACAATATATATTATTTTAACGTATTTCTGAGCTTATTCTTCATTTTTCTTCAGCCCTTGTTTAAATTTTCAGGTGAATATAAATAGTTTCATCCCATCTGTCACCAGCAATACAATTTGTTCATTGAGGTCTCATTTTCTAGATCTTCAAAACATTCAACACTGGAGGGTTTCGCCTAAAACATTAAAAGTTATGTATAGGACCCTTTCTTAGAGTTTTTAGAAAAAGAACAAAATTCTTCTAAATAGTTTGCTAATGTCTATTTCTGCTCTGGGCTTTTTATGTGTTAATAAAAGTGTTTATTTCTACT